TGACTCTAAACTTTTTGCTTTTAAATCAAGACAAGACGGAAGTTCTCATCTTTGGACCAGAAATCCAGAAAAGGAAATTGCTTAGCCAATCGCCTGACCTGAATGGCATTACATTAATCTCCGAGAACAAAGTAAGGAACCTTGGTGTTATCTTTGACCAGGACATGTCATTCAAATCCCAGGTTAAACAGGTTTGTAGGATTTCCTTTTTCCACCTTCGGAATATTGCTAAGATTAGAAGCATCCTTTCCAGGAGTGATGCTGAAAAACTAGTTTATGCATTTATTACATCAAGACTGGATTACTGTAATCCATTACTCTCAGGAAGTCCACAGAATGTAGTTAAAAGTCTTCAGCTTGTCCAAAATGCTGCAGCTAGAGTTCTGATGAGAATTAAAAAGAGAGATCATATCTCTCCTGTCTTAGCTTCCCTACATTGGCTACCTGTTAAATTCAGAATAGATTTTAAGATCCTTCTTCTCACATATAAAGCTCTTAATAATCAAGGTCCATCATACATCAGTGATCTGATTGTTCCATACGTTCCTAACCGAGCACTTCGCTCTCAGACTGCAGGTCTACTGGTGGTTCCCAGAATATCTAAAATTAGGATGGGAGGCAGATCTTTTAGCTATCAGGCTCCTCTCCTGTGGAACCAGCTCCCAGCTTTAGTCCGTGAGGCAGACACTTTGTCTACTTTTAAGAATAGGCTTAAAACATTTTTATTTGATAGGGCCTATGGTTAAAATCTGATGTTAGCCTAGATCTGGACAAGTGGGGGAGTAGAGGGAGGTGGAGTGTACAGTCGGTAAAGACGGCTCTCCCTTGCCCTGCCTCCAACATGCCTCCATCTAAATAGGATAGGTTATCCAGAGTTATCTCTGTAGTTATGCTGCTATAGGCTTAGACTGCTGGAGGACACACTGACCACTTTTCACACTCTACTACTTTCTTCTACTATCTGCTCTTTTATTATTTCCTGCTATTTCAGCTGTTAACTTTATTTTCTCTCTAAGTGTTTTTCTCCCCAGAAGAAGCTACAACGATGTTCTGCTGAGCTGTGGTGGCCTCATGGAGGGGGCCATCGTCTAGCACACTGCTGCTAACCACTTAAACATTCTCCCTCTCCTGATAATAACTTTTTGCTTTCCTTGACGTTGGATGTGCTACTACTAGTTTACCCGTTTAATTATAGATCCACTAGGATAAATACAATAAAGTTTATCTCTCACCAAATAAAATATTTACTAAGACATCACAATGTAACCGTAGACACATTACTTTGTCTTTGTGTGTGTGTGTGTGTGTGTGTGTGTGTGTGTGTGTGTGTGTCTGTGTGTGTGTGTGTGTGTGTGTGTGTGTGTGTGTGTGTGTGTCTCTGTGTGTGTGTGTGTGTGTGTGTGTGTGTGTGTGTGTGTGTGTGTGTGTGTCTGTGTGTGTGTGTGTGTGTGTGTGTGTGTGTGTGTGTGTGTGTTCTGTCTTCTCCATCCCCGGTGAGTCGTGGAGGATGGCTGCTTATACTGAGCCAGGATTCTCTGGAGGTTTCTTCCTGTTAAAAGGGAGTTTTCCTCTCCACTGTCGCTGCATGCTTGCTTAGTATGAGGATTGCTGTATAGTCACTGACACTAATCAGTGACTCGATGCCATTTGCTGGGTTCCTTATATAGGAAACATTATTTCTGATTGGCTTAATGAACTGACCTGAATTGGAATGTTTATTGTGTGAAGTGCCTTGAGACGACTCTTGCCGTGATTTGGCGCTTTATAAATAAAATTGAATTGAATTGAAAAAATTCTCCCTGCTCTTTGACCCTCTGTTGAAGCTCACAAGCATCATGGGGTTTGAGAAATGAAAGAATCTAACATTAAGAATAAATGTTCCATTTTTCGACTTTGCAGGAAGTGGTGATGGAGATTCAGGAGCTGGCTGGAATTACGAGATTTGTTCCTAAAGTCCTCCTGGCCATCACTGTGACTATTTGTGATGAGGTGTATAAGAAGATCGCCTACTGGCTCAATGACATGGGTAAGAGGCAGTTAAAGACAAATAGCCCCTTTCATAGTAATGCAGCCTGATGTTCTCGAACGCGTTTCCTCCATCCAGAGAACTACAGGCTACAGAGTACCTATGAAAACAACCTCATCATCAAGATGGTCTTTGTAAGTCATCCTTCCTGCTTAGCCTGTGAATGAAATATGGGTGATTTTGTTTGGTTAATTTTGTTTCCTGGGTATTTTACAGTTTGAATTCATCAATTCTTACCTGAGCCTTTTCTACATCGGGTTCTACCTCAAGGACATGGAGCGACTGAAGGAGGTGAGAGCTGTAGGTGTTGTGTTGCATCAGAGTGTTGAAATCAAAATGTATTCCCTTTTCCTTTCTTCAAACCATCTATTCAGTAGAAAATCGCTCCAAAACTACACGCAGCGTTTTGAAGTTTTAGTAGGAATTATTTTTCTTAAAGATCAAGTTGCCTTTGCTTTTTACATAACTGTTTTGGTCTTCTATCCTATTTCTATTTTAAATGTTGCTTAGAATATTAAAAGGTCAAAGTGACTGAAAGCATTTTTGATGTTTCTCTTCTGTGTTTTTATTTTGTTTTATTGTTGTTGTAGTTTTTTATTACATATTTATGTTTCTGAGAAACATCTGTATATTTATTATTTGGTGAAATGACTGATTAGTTGATTAACTTTGGTTAAAGGATTGATTTTAATAATGAGCAGTACACTAAACTAAGATTCAACAGCTGGTTAAAGTAACACGGGGCAGTTTCCTGCTCCTCCGCCCTACTTGTTGAAAGCAGAATTACAACTGTCATGAGCCAACACACTAACCCATGAAGAGCCAAACTGTTAGACAACAAATAATGTTACTTACAATCCAGCAGCAACAACGCCAGGTCACCATCAGTCCGTGAATATATAGTCGCCTTTAACTTCCTCAATCGAGCGTAGGCTGTGCCGATGTTCACTCTGGTTTTAGCTCTTTGCTTCACCCCAAAGACGTTACTCTCTTACTTTTACTTCCAGGCTCCGCCATGTTGCCAATAAAAAGCAAACTTCTTCTTTTCCTTCTTATTGTGCTTTTTATAGATGATCAGAGAACTGAAAATGCTAACAGTTAGCATTACAGCTAACAGCTGTAAACCAGGCAAAGAGTGCCCCCTAGGGCACCTACCTGCTCTACAAAACCATGACAGCAGAGGGCTGCAGAGTGGTGTCAGATATGAAACAGGTCAAGTCACGTCTCTTATAGGCTGTGACTTAAGGCGACCGCTGGATAACATCTCTGTTGGCCACAAGAGCTTTTACTGCCTACGTTTGGCCCTGTTCTAGTATAGAAGGGGTGCTCGCCCCTCCCTTGTCCCCCATTTATCTCTCCGCAACCACTTCATTAGGAGCTAAATGTGAAGTTTTGCCGTTTTAGCTTGCTAACAAGTGTACTAACTTGGAACGGATTACCTTATGGATCGTTTCCACAGCCGTACCTGGGCTCTCGGTCCATCTCATCTCTGTGAACTTCCAACATAAGGTATGCTCCTTGGCTCCAGCCCAGTCTGTGCTGCTCTGCCTTCAGCTCCTAACCCAGTGGGCCTCTTCACAATCTCCACGGAGCCATACCTGACACCGCTGCTCGGCACAAGAAACCAGCTGGCCGGGCAGCGTGCTGTTCTCACCCCGACACAGCGCACCGCTCACATTAATGTGTTTCCGACGGGCACTACAGCTGGCAACATTGCCCTTTTCACCTCCAAGCACACTCTGGCTGAGTCACCTGCCTTCTGTCTCTGAAGACCTGCAAGAGGAAACGCTGGAGGATCCAATCAGGCCTGATGACCTGTTCACCATTGGGTGAGCGCAGGATAAAGGAGAGCTGTTTGCCACTGTTCATGACCTAGTTCGGCCCCAGCCCGCTTTTCATCCCGAACGTTCCTCCGGAGGGTGGGAGGACCGCCCTCAGTGGGTTTGATCCAAAAGACCAGCATCACCTGGTTCTACTCAGAACCAGCCACCCCGTGATGTGGCCGGTGTTAGGGCACCATGCCAGTCAGAGGAGGTAAGGTGCCACTGGGCTTTGGGTAAGAGTTAGGGTGCAGGGGTTAGGGATTACAGCTACATCAGTCTGACATACGTGGCTTGTCAGACTGGCATGCGCTGAAATATGTGTATGCCAATCTGTCAATCTGCTTCGACAGAGCACCGACCGTCTGACGTTCACCGTTCCGAAAATGCCACCAGCAGACTTGGCCTTGGTTCAGCACCCCCAGGACGCCTGCAGGAAGCGGTTTAGAATAACTTCTTTGTGGGAGAAAGTGTGTTTTCTGACCGTGATCCATGATTGATGATGTTTGCTTTGAAATAAAAACATCCTCTAAAGAGATATTCTGACGCAGTCCCCCGCTGCAGACCAGCCTGCTGCGTCATCAAAACACGTTTTCTGCATCACTCACCTCTCCCACCATGTGTCCAAAAACAGATATGTTGGCTCTCTTCCTATAGGAAGAAAGTCCGCCTCATTGCATGCCGGCTCTTTCTTCGGGTATAGGCTCAGCTCCCCCACACCACACACACACACACACACACACATGGCGCAACGGGCAGGGATGGGAATAAGCTGACCTGTGCATGCCAGAGCAGGCTGGTTCCACCTGACCGGTGTCCGCCACCCTCATGCATGCCCACTGTCCCACAGCGGAGCTTAGACTTCAGTCACGCGCCTTGTGGAGCGAATCAGCTCACTTCTGCTTTCACACACACATTCTGCCTCTAAGCATTCATCTCCATGATGGTTCTATGAAAAGTAAGAAAATCCAAATTTTTCTTCCAGCAAACAAACGCGCTGCACTTCCTTTAAAGGAATCCATGCTTGGGCTTCTTCAGTGTCCGCAGACCCGTCCATGCTTGATTATGTTGCTCAGTCACGTGCAAATCTGTCATTCATCATCAGTTATCGGACTGGTCTTATTGGAGGTTGGAAAAATTATACATATACTACTTGTACTCGAGTAAAACATTACCAAAATTAGGAGTACTTTCACTTAAATGATAAATGACCTGCCCTTCTATAGCGCCTGTCAGAGTAAGGACCCCAAAGCTCCCAGCTCCTCCTGTATTTAAACCCTGTTAGTCCATTTTGTCTGGTTGGTTCATTATTTCATCGTCCTGCGTGTTCCTGATTAAAATCCCTGTTTTAATGTTCCTGTCTGCCTGCCTGCCTGCCTCCTTCTTCACCCGCGTGTGGATCCTCACCTCCGTTTCACTCACCAGCACGCCTGACAGTTTTCTTATGCTTGAGCTAATAAATGGTAAGTCTGAAAGCTCTATCGTATTGCAAAGTGTCTGTTCTATATCTAACCAGGACTCACCTAGTGGGTTATCTTGCAACCATCTTGGTACATATTGCAGCCTGTTGGCTAAGAAATAATAATAAAAGTTGGGTAGATCCAGTCCTCCTCTGTCTTTGGTCTTCTGAAGCGTTTTTAAGCTAATTCGTGGAGGTTTGTCCTGCCAAAGGAATTTAGTAATTGAGGAGTCCAGAGATTTAAACCAGTCAGCTGGTGGTTTGTTTGGGATCATTGAAAATAAGTAATTTATTCTGGGTAAGACCATCATTTTAATTGTAGCAACTCTCCCCATGAGTGATATTGGTAAGGATTTCCATCTTGCAAGATCATCTTCCACTTTCTTTAAAAGTGGGATGTAGTTTAGTTTGGTTAGATCTGCTAACTTGGGAGAGACATTAAATCCCAGGTATGTGATATTCCCTGACTCCAATTGTGTATTAAGCAAATTGACAAATGAGAAATTAATTGGTAGAACTGTGGATTTTAACCAGTTTATAGAGTAATCTGAAACTCTTGAAAAAGAGTTTATCAGTTCTATTGAATGAGAGAGAGACGATTGAGAATTCTGGAGAAATAGTAAAACATCATCTGCATAAAGACTGATCTTATGTTCTATTCTCGTACACTTTATCCCTTTAATATCTGTTGTTTGCCTAATTGCTGCCGCTAGTGGTTCAATAAAAATAGCAAACAGTGAGGGGGAGAGTGGGCATCCCTGCCTGGTCCCCGTCTGAAGACAGAAGCTAGCTAACCCTAACCCTGAGATCAACATTAATAAGGGAAATTGGGCGATAGCTGGTAGGAAATGCAGGGTCTTTGCCTGGTTTTAACAAGAGACTAATATTGAATGAGTTCATGTTTGGCTGTAATCTGCCGCTCTCTTCGATTTCCCTCACCATTCTGAAAAATGTTGGAGCCAGAATGATCCTGAATTCTTTGTAGAACTCTACTGGGAACCCGTCTGGACCTGGAGCTTTCCTATTCGTCATGGATTTAAGGGCTTCCTGGAAATCAGCTGATGTTAGTGGCGAGTCCAGGACTGTAGCTTGGCTGTCTGATAATTTAGGAAGTGTTATCCTGTCAAGGAACTCATTGATCTCGTTATCTGGTGGGTTTATCTGTGGTGAGTACAAAGTTTGGTAAAAGTCTCTGAAGGTGTTGTTTATTCTTTCAGGGTCATTAACTATATTCCCGGTTGAGTCTTTAACAGCAGATATGGTAGTTTTCTCTTTATTAATTTTTAACTGGCTAGCCAAAAAATTTACCTGATTTATTTCTATGTTCAAAGTTTTCTATTCGTAGTCTTTGTGCTAAAAATTGTGTCTTTTTGTCAATAATTCCATGAAGTTCTAATTTAGCTTTACGTAATTTGCTCATTGACTCTTCTTCTGTGGATGCCTCTAAAGACTTAATGATTGCTTCTAACTCCTGAATACGTTTGTTTTCTGTTTTTTTCTTATGTGATGAGAAAGAGATTATTTTACCTCTCATCACTGCCTTTCCTGCCTCCCAGAGAATAGATGCTGATGTTCCAGGCAGGTCATTATCTTCTAAATATAAAGCCCACTCCTTTTTAAAAAAATCTATAAAACCTTCGTCTTTGAGCAGTGATGTATTAAACCTCCAGTTTTTGCTTGGTGGGATTGTCTTCTTGTTACCAGAGTTAATGAGACCGGAGCATGGTCGCTGACAACTATGGGGTGTATCTCAGTGTCTGAAATGTCAGCCAACAATGAGCTGCTGACTATAAAATAATCCGAACGTGAATGAGAGTGATGGGTGTGCAAAAAAGTATGTTCTCTACGGTTAGGATGAAGAGATCGCCATGCATCACAAAGCCCATAATCACTCATGTACTGTTTAACTATATTAGTGGATTGCCAGTTGCGCTGAGTCCCAGCTGTACTGAGCCAGTCTGTTAAGGAGTTCATCCAAAAATTTAAATCGCCTCCAAGTATAAGGGGACAGTCCAAGTGTTCGGAGCGTACAGAGAAAAAATTATGAAAGAATGGAGGGTCATCAATATTTGGATAGTAAGTGCTGACCATACATAAGCTTTGGTTCTGTACAGATATTTTTAATATTATAAATCTACCCTCTGGATCAGAGACTGTGTCCAGTACTGTGAAATTGATGTTTTTGTGTATTAAAATAGCTACACCTCTTTGTCTAGAGTTATAGAAGGCAGAGAACATGCTGGGAAACTCAGGTGTTTTAAGTTCATCTGCGGATGTGGCAGATCTATGAGTCTCTTGTAATAATATTACGTCTGCTTGCACTCTCTTTAGCTGATCAAAAATCTTTAATCTTTTCTCTATGGAGCCAGCTCCATGTACGTTCCATGAGACAAACCTTAGTGCACCCATAGATGTGTGTGTGAGTAGCTAAAATATGACGCCTTCATGTGAATAAGATGGAATAAGTATCTAAATGTATAAAATAGTATGTTAATAAATAACAGAAAAGTAAATAATAATAATAATAATAAAGATCCAACAGTGTTTGTGGTTGTATTATTTGAAGCATAAATTATGATATTGTGCTGTGAATTTAATATATCTATGTGTGTGTGTTTGTGTGTGTGTGTGCGCGTGTGTGTGTGCGTGCGTGCGTGCGTGTGTGTGCGCGCACACGGGTGTGTGTGTGTGTGCCGAGTCTGACGCAGTGTTGGAAAGTTGTGTGGTTGTGCCATACAGGTGTAAAGGTGCAGAAGCAGGTAAAGAGGAAGGGAAAATACAGATACAGGTTAAAAAAGAAGAAAGAACTAAAAAGAAAAGGTGATGGGGGTGTGAAGTGGTGATGAACAGGTGATCTTATCATCTAGAAAACGGATTTAGCAGCTGTTTAATCCTGACGTGATCAAACCCAGTGAATCCTGATAAGAATAATAAATGTCTGACCTGATGTTGGGCTAATACAGCCAGTCAGTCACTCCTCGCTCCTTGTAAAGTTTATTGTCCACATAAAGCTTATCCACCGAGATGACAGCTCTCTTCCCATACTGGATAAACCTTTTGCACAGCGGAAAGAGGACTCGGCGCCGATCCAGGATTTCCTTAGGAAACTGATCATTAACGCTGAAATCTTTCCCTTTGAGCTCTCTTCCGTGACTTTTAACAAGATCCTTCTGCTTAAAATGTTCAAATTTAGCCACGATGGGACGAGGTCTTCTGCTGTCCACTCGTCTAGCTCCAAGGCGATGTACCCGGTGAAAGGTGATCTTTTTTACTGTTTCTTCAGGTATCTTCATTTGGGTCTGGAGAAAGTTCTTTATTGTTTGCTCGCAGTTCTCCGCCCCTCCCGTCTGCTCCGGCAGACCTGCGAACACCAGATTATCCCTCATGCTGCGGGCCTGAAGGTCCAAAACCGTCTCCTTCAGAGTTTTGTTGTCCTGGGTGATCCGCGTCACTCCCTCTTCCAGGGAAGAAACGGACTCCCGCAGAGACGCGTTCTCAGCAGCGAGCCGCTCCACCTGCTCCTGACTGAACTCCAGAGACTGACGGAGGTTCTGAAACTCCTGGTGAAGAACCTCGAGCAGATGAAGTCGCCCCTCAAATCCCAGAAGCCGTTTATCTATAGAATCTAATAATTCTAATACGTCCTTCCGGGGAGATGAGGCCTCAGGCGAGTCCTGAGGACGGCTCCTCTTGATCCCAGCAGGTGTTTCAGCCTCAGCTGCTGATTTCTTCGGACCCATGACGAAAACTTCAAAAACTTTGTCAATATAATTTAGCAAACTTTCTAAATGTCCTTCACTTACCTCCAGATTGAGCGAGTTATACTTACCAGATTATTTTTGCGTTGTCAGTAGTTAAATTAGGCAAAAATGCATCTGAATTGTTTGTGGATGTTTGCTAACGAGCTGCCATCAGCTTCAAACACTGCTGTGTTCGGTGATCGGCCGTCAGCGCATGCGCATCTTCCACACTACTGGGAACACAGCCTGGTCCCCACCCCACCAGGGGTATTCTGCTGTTGTGTCCTTGGGCAAGACACTTCACCCAACTTGTCTGTGTTGGTGGTGGTCAGAGGGGCCGACGGCAGCCTCGCCTCTGTCAGACCACCCCAGGGCGACCATCACTGGCAGAGTGTGAATGTGAGTGGATGGAAGCATCTTTGAGTGTCCTAAACAAGCGCTATATAAGTTCAACTCTGATTATTATTATTATTATTATTATTATTATTATTATTATTATCATTATTGGTCATTTAGCAATCATTATCATGAGCTGCATATTCTTTGTTTTTCTTTACAGATGCTGGCGACTCTGCTTATTTTCCGCCAGTTTCTGCAGAACATAAAAGAAGTCCTGCAGCCCTACCTGTACGAGCAGAATAAGCTAGGTGTCTTCACTCCTAAAGTGCTGTGGGAGCTTCTCCAATCTGTTCTGCTGAAGTACGGCCGCCTGGCTGTGGACAAGGCCCAAGCCTCAATGACCTGGTATTCACTTTTGGGTCAGAGAGGAATCCCAGGTCCTGTTACCAACTGTAACCCAGAGCCAAAGAGAAAAGGAGACCTAAAAGCTGGCTTTAGGCTCTCAGAGGAGGAGTGGGAAATGAATGACAGCATCATGAAACATCGGAAAGTCAGCTTCACAGAGAAGGTCAACTACAAGGACGTCACAACAGAAACACACAGAGAGGATGAAAGTTTCCTAGAAGATAGTCCAACGCTGGTAGAGGAAGGGATGGAGTCCTCCTGCCTCTTTGACAGCTGTGATGAGGACAGTGACTGTGAGTCTCTGGCTCAGGTATGTGTGTGGTGTCCATTTAATTCATCCTCCTAGCAGCACAGAAAAGAAAGTGATCTACCTTCACAGGAGAATGCCGGCGTGTCATCACCAAAGGAATCAGACCATCTCTGTCAGAGAAGAAAAAATGCAGGTGAGGACAAAGACAACAAGAAATCCTGGATCAATCCACCAGAGGAAACCAAAACCGTCAACCTGACCCAGGCGGAGATTGAGAGCTGCATGAAGACATATGAGGTGAACTTAGATGAATCGTCTGCAGATTAAATCTACTCGTGAAAATATTGGAGCAAGTCTGAGTCTTTGTGAAATCCACAGGGAACGATCCAGGATTACCAGGAGATGTTTATCCAGTTTGGCTACGTGGTGCTCTTTTCTTCAGCCTTCCCTTTGGCAGCCATGTGTGCTCTTATCAACAACATCATCGAGATCCGAAGTGATGCCCTGAAGCTCTGCACCAGCATGCAGAGACCCTTTGGACAGAGGGTGGAGAACATCGGACAGTGGCAGGTCAGTGTGTCTTCCTGCCTTTAGTTCATGTGAGAACATTTTATCTCTACAGCACTCCTCACAGACGGAGAACCCTAACCACAGAGTGCTTCACACAGATCAGAACGAAACAAACAAAGTCGTGACATCATAATGAGCTTCAAACAGAAATGAATTTCAATCAGAAAAACAAAGTGTTGCAATGATAAAATATCATAAAACAAATGAAAGAAGATTCCTAATGCTAATGAAAAAGGAAACCCAAAGATTCAGGTTAAAGCAGCTTTAGAAACATGGGTCTTAGTTAGTGTTATACAACCCAGTCTAGGAGTGGTGGGCTGTAACCAGAGGGAAGACCAGACCGGGGGGGGGGGGGGGGATTACTAAAGCTATTTAATGACCAGAAAATGGCCTGTGGGGACTCTCCACCACACAGGAGATCCTCCCGTAAGCAGAAAACCAGCAGGCTTTGTAGGCAGCACCACACCCTGAGCCCAGGTGCCTCCAAGGCTGCCCAACGAGCTGCCTGCAACTGAAGAAAAAACACAATTAAACACATAAAGGCACAGAGACCGCGGGGCGTCACAGTTACCCCCAAATTCCACTACCTCCACTCCGCTCCGGTCCGCCCCCGCCTTCCACAGCCGCTCGCTTCCGAAATCAATTTTTACTGGTACCCGCTCTACAACGGCTCCGCTCCGGTGCGGAGACCTGAGGTGGGCAAACAAGCATGCGCGGGATTTTCGAGATCTTGCGATACAGTCCGAGCAATAAACGCGGAAGTTAGATCCAAACACCCGTTGTGTGGGAGAAGCATCGGTATGAACTGTTTAATCTGCCCATCATGTGTGTTGAGAGATCAGCAGTGTTTGGACCAACAAAGTGTGACTACTTTGATAGTGGAAACTGTATTTATGGCTTACTTTTGTGCATTTAAACTTCAGCCGCCATTGATAGTTGTTAAAAGTTGTTAAACCTGTGCATATGAAACAAAAAACGCCTTTTGTTTATCGATTTATTGTGAAAAACGGAAATTGTGCTTGCTCCTTTTCCTGTTGGGCCGTTGTGATTTCTGTCCATTTACTGCGGAGGTGCTCCGGCGTCCGGCAAAAATAGGATCGATTCTATTTTTGCCGGACGCCGGAACAGAGGGCGGCGCACTGCGCTGCACTGCCAGAGCATGGCCGCAGTAGTGGAATTGCTCTGATTGACTACAACGGGACCGATTTTGCTCCGGCGTTCGTGTCGGAGCGGAGCGGAGGTAGTGGAATTTGGGGGTTAGGGTCAGCTGTGCCCAGACTGTCAGTACTACGTAAGGATAAAGGAACATCATTCCACGTAGCCAGTGAAGGGTTCTGTTTGTCTCCACCAGACTGCCATGGAGGCCATGGGGCTGATAGCCATCATAGTGAACTGTTATCTGATTGGTCAATGTGGACAGCTCCAGCGGCTGTTTCCCTGGCTGAGTCCGGAGATGGCAGTCGTCTCCATTGTCCTACTGGAGGTACACCATTCAGAGTTTTATAAGACGTGCATTTGTCTTTAGTACGAGTCATAATCTGAGTTTGTTCATGAACAGAACTCACCTGACGAGTCTGTGGTGCAGATATGACCCATTGATCTGTCCAGAGATGACAAACAGAATGGAAAAGAAAATGTTTGTTGACTGATGAAAGTGTGTTGGTCTGTCCCTCTGTGGTCTTGGTGGTTTCCAGCACGTTGCAGTCCTCCTAAAGTACATCATCCATGTTGCCATCCCTGATATCCCTGGCTGGGTAGCAGACGAGATGGCCAAGCTTGAGTACCGGCGAAGGGAAGCTTTCAAGGTATGAATGCATCATAACTTGAAAGACATTCTGCCACCATCTTGGCTCTAGTTGCTTATTTATGTGTCTCTCTGTCACCCAAAACCCTTTATTCTGGTTGTTGTCCTGCATGCATGAGCAGAGTTTTCATTCCAGCAGCAGTGGAGGATAATGACCTCTGCAAGTACAGATGTGACTAGCAACGAAACAGACCTAACCCTAAAGACGAAACTATACGTCATGATAAAAATCACAAGAACAAAAAATACTTTAAAAAATATCCTAATGAAGAAATTGGGAAAAAGAAAAATTAAATATGTGAAGGAAGACAAAACATGAATAAGAAAATGTAATCGGGGATCCCGAGAAAGACAAAACCTGCAGAAACAACAGCATGAAGAAAAGGTAGTGAGGAGGAGGAAGATGAACAGGAGGTCTAAACATGAGTCTGCTGATCTCAGGCTCAGGGGAGGGCCTGGGCGCTGCACAACCAGTAGGCTTTGGTCACTGGACCTCAGGGACCTGCTGGAGGTGTAGGGACTGAGAAGATCACCAACATATGGTCTCATTTCAGAAACGTTGGAGCATGAAGTTCTGTTTGATGCAGAAAATCATAAAAAAAAATTAAAAATATCCTAAACTTCCAATGATATTTGAGATGTTTTTTTTTTTTTGTTGCTGATAATAAAAAACAGCAGAAGGTTGTGGGCTGGATGAGGATTTAATGACAGCCTACCCAGCTGATGGACCTTCTTCACCAACCAGCTAACCACACACCTTTCCACAGACCTGCCCTTTGGGAACCTTTAGACCAGGGCTCTCCAAGCGTTTTGGCCGGCGAGCTACTTTTACACAATGAAAGTAGCGAAGAGCTGCCACCATACAATTAATTCACACTGATACTTTCCATGTGTGAACATGCTTTCTGTGTTAAAATGTCATATGTGAACATGCACTGTAATCACTAGTGATTCCTCTGTATATCAATACATCAACATTATAAAGAAGTACAAGGAAGAGTGACATTCTGAACCTCAAACTCAACATTTTGTTTATATACTAATAAGAAACTTTCAGGTACTGAATAACAAATCTAATTTGTGTGAATGATCTTTTAGAATGGATCCGTAACATAACTTTTTGAGCACACAGGAACAGCTTACCTGTTCAGTCCCTGACCCTGCCCTAAGCAGTGACCAGAATGATAATGAATCGTGCAAACAGGAAGCCCCTGCTGGCTGATTCTATCCGCCAACCAGAGGCACCCCCTATGGCAGGTGTCAGTTTGAGCCGGTCAGTCAGTTGGCAGTGGGTGTGTTGGACCAGTTCAGCCCGAAGCAGGCTGCCTTGGGAAGAGGGCTAAAAAAACAACCGGTTGCACGCAGAAAAAGTTCAGGCTAGCAGGATGAGAACACTCTACCCAGTCTAGACGGAGTTGAGCCAATGCTAGTGTGGAAGCCCTAGAGAGCACGCTGGGACCGATGGACTGAAAAGCACTTTTAAACAAAGATGAGGGTAAGATGTGGAGGGGGCATGCAGAGGTCTTCATAGAGTTAACTAGTTTGGTTAACTCAGGCAAAGAAACAGGAGCAAAGCTATCTAGGATGATGGGCCTGGTTGGAGTCGGGAGAGGCGGCGATAAGGCTGAAGGAGAGATGCTAGATCTGACCTCATCAGGCGTGTTTCCAATGTCGGAATTTCAGGGTGAATTCTGGGAGGGGGGAAATTGAGCCCAAAATAAAGCCCCATTAGTCGTCGTCACACACTGGTGATGTTACATGTCTGCATGTGACCCCTCCCCGTGGAGAGCAGTGAGCTGCAGCAGTGGCTGCACTCGGTAACTATTTGGTGGTTTAACCCCCCAATCCAAACCCCTTGAAGCTCAGTGCAAAGCAGGGAGGCGTTGGTCTTTGGTATGACCCGACCGGATTTGAACCCTGATCTCCCAGTCTCAGGGTGGACACTCCGCTGAGAAGGTAATGAGATGTCCAGTTCCTCCCAGCATTTGTGTCTCCATTCAAATTCAGCTCTTTTGGGACTTTGCACAGACGTCAGCATATTGCGACTGCATTAGCGGTGAGTCATGTCACTGATCAACATCCAGAAGCAGCACAGTAACATATAAGGTTTTCGTTTCCAGTAAGTTTTATCCTGTCGAAGTACAGCATGATGTAATCCATTCAGAGGACAAGAGCAGCTGCGTGATGTAAAATGTGATGTTCAACGACCAGAACAAGCTCCGTTTTCAAGCCCAGCAGGGCTGGACTGGCCTATCTGTCATTCCAGTGCTGTCCTGGTGGGCTGCTTAGCCAAGTGGGCCGCTTGCCCAGCTAGGGTTAGGCCACTGTGGCATTTCATTCACAAACGCGTCTGTTTGTGAACATAATTTAAACTGGATTATAATTAGCCCATACTTAATACATTTGTCACCACAACATTTGAAGCATCTTAGGTGTGTTCTTGCTGTGCGTTATTTCTAATTCCATGTTGTCGTTCTTTTTAAAACACAGAAACAGTTTTGTTACCTGTTTTTTCGCTACGTTTTGTCTGCGGCTGCAGACTTCCTCAGGCTGACGCTGATGGTGGCGTCACTTCCTTCTCCGTTTATCTGCGTTGTCGCCCTCTGCTGCCCGCTCTCCGACGATGCAGTCCCATGCGTGGTCCAGCGTGTAAACTCCCTCGTCTCTGTTCATGGTCCCACATCCACGTCTCCTTATCTCGATAGCTTCCATGATCCATCTTTTGTATTTTTGTTGTTCGGTGGTTATGATCCGTGTGCTGTCCCAGTCCATTACATGGTTTTCTCTTGTGCAGTGATCTGTTACGGCTGACTTCTTTATTGTACTTTCTGCTTCTTCTTTTGCTGCTCTTGTGTGTCTTCGACTTGTTTCTTTCTCGCACTCCTTTCTGTGTTCTATTGTCCGTGTATTGAGTTGGCGTCCGGTTTCTCCTACGTATGTTTTATTGCAGAGTTTGCATGGGATTTCATAAATGACTCCACATTTAAGTCCAGCTGGTATCTTGTCTTTTGGGTGTACTAGTCTGTTTCTAACTGTTGTGTATGGTTTTGTTGGTGTGTTTATGTTGTGTTTTTTCATTGTTGCTCTTATTTTTTCTGTTATGCCTCTGATGTATGGTAGGGTTATCACTGGTTTTGGTTCTTGTCTTTCTGGGTTTCTGGTTCTTTGCTTTGGTTGTTCTTTGCTTTCTGTTGTTGTTTGTTGTTTTCCTTTGTTTATTGCCCATGTCGGGTATCTGCAGGTCTTTAAAGCGTGTTGTATGTGTTTGTCCTCTTGTTTACGGTCTCTCTCTTCTGTTACCATGTTTGCTCGGTGATATAATGTTCTGATTACTGACATGTTGTGTATGGTGGGGTGTTCTGATGTCCATAATAGATATTGGTCTGTGTGTGTTGGTTTCCTGTATGTGTTTATGTTTAGGGTCCCGTCTGTCTGCCTGGTGATTTTCATGTCCATAAATGCTATGCTGCCTTCTGTTTCTGACTCATAAGTGAATTTTATGTTGCCCGTGTCGTCAATGTTATTCAAGTGTTGTGTTAGTGTTTCTGTTTGTCCTGTTGGTATGATTTCCAGTATGTCGTCTACGTAGCGTTTTCATAGTTTTATTTTGCAGTTTGGGGGGGCGGTGGCTATGGCTTTTTGTTCCAGGTCTTCCATGAAAAACTCGCACAGGGTGGCTGATAACGGGTTACCCATGGCGAAGCCTTCCAGTTGTTTGTATATTGTGTTGTCGTATGTGAAGTAAGTGGAGTTAGCTACCAGTCCTATCAGTTGTGCTATGTCATCTGCTGTGAGGTTTGTCCTTTTGTGTAAAGTCTTGTCTTGTCTGATTCTGTTAACTACTATGTCTATGGTTTTTTGGGTTGGTGTTTTTGTGAACAGAGATGTGACGTCATGTGAGATGAGTATGTCGTCGTCTTCTATTGTAATTTCCTTTAGTTCTTTTGCCAGTTCTATACTATTTTTGCTGTGTTGATCTGTGTTTCCTAATAACGGGCTGATGATTCTGCTGATATCTTTTGCCATGTTGTATGTTGGTGTACCTATGCTGTCTACTATTGGTCTAAGTGGTGTTTTGTTTATGTATTTTTGGCGTTCCATATATTCTTGGTGTTATATTCGCCATGGGAATCCAGTGTTTATACATTTTTTCTGTTATTTTGCCTTTTTCGTGCTGTGGCTTCAGTAATTTTTTCATGTTTTTCTTAATGTTTTCTGTTGGATCTTTTTTAAGTATTTCATATGTATTTTTGTCCTCTAGCATCTGTTTCATCTGTTGTTTATATTTTTCTCTGTCCATAACTACTGTGGTTCTTCCTTTGTCTGCCGGTAGAATAATTATCTGTTCATTTTTGGATAAGGCTGTCATGGCTGATTGTTCTTCTTTTGTAATATTGCTGTGTTGAATTTGAAGCATATTATTAGCATTTCCAGTAGCTTAATACTGAACATGTTAATGAATTCTGTAAAATGTTACTGATCATAGTTTAATCAAGGATATATTAAGGTGATAGCATGTTGTTTTACATGCTATTGAACTGTTTTCTGATCATGTTCTGTTAAAGTGAAGGAAGCAGGGAAAATATCTTTCCCTATCACTTTTTTCAGTTTCCCGTTTAATCCGATTAATCAAGTCGAGACCCCATCCGATTCATCGATGATCCAATGATCATTTGTTGCAGCCCTACAGGGGATGGTTTTGTGAGGGAAGAACACAATATTCCTATCAGAAGAAGCTGCTGGGCACTTGACTGGTTGTGGGAACCAGTATCTGCTGCCATCAGGAGATCATTTGTGACTCTGACCAAGGCCGTTTCTGTGCTGTGGCCGGTGCAGAAACCAGACTGAAATGTTTCAAACAGTTTATTGTCTTTGAGGTGGTCATGAAGTTGTACTGCAACAGCTTTTTCCAGAACCTTTGATAGAAAAGGGGGATTGGACATGGGCCTATAGTTTGAGAGACCTTCCGGATCCAGGGTGGATGCATATACATGCAGCATTCCAACATTAACGATGGTGACCGCTGATCAAGGAAGCGCTATTTCACAGAAGCAGAAACTGAGGTACCTGTGGTTGAGGTGGAGAAATTAAAGGAAGTGCTTTTGCAAAACAAGTAAGAGAAAATCCACGGAGTGGTGCAGCGTTGCTGAAGCCGTCAATGTTGTGAATTCTTCATAGAGATCTGCGGCGCTTATAAAAAAATGGTCCGATCAGCACAGGTTGGTATTTTTCCTCTACTTTCTCCCCTAGTTTTAGTCCCCGCTCCGTTGAGGTACCTGGCAAGACTGTTGGGCCGGCAACATGATTCTGGCCACTGGTTGCCTGGGGGGCTTGGAAACAGTGCTCGGGCCAAGCTGCATTGGTCCAAGTTCCTCGAAGCAGTTTTCCTGGAAGACCATCTTTATGGTACCAATATGATACAACATTTGCAACCTTGAACTAATAATACCTAAGAACAACACTTCCCCCCCAAAATAAATATGCATGAATACCCCATAATAGAACAAACTAAAAACATGACTACCCATAATGCACCTTGCCCACTGCAGCTGAAAAAGCTTACTTTTTACAATGTTTTAGAGGAATTTTCACCGACACTGGAGTATAGAGTAATGGTAACTCCAGAAGAGTACACCTAACAGGTTACACTATAACGACCCATTTAAAAAAAATCTGTTTTAACTCTGAAAATGAACACCAACACTGCTGGACAAAGGGAAGTATTTTACACTCAATATCACTGAATCGACTATGATAGAGTTCCCATACCGTGACACTGCTTATTTAACACTTGGCATTTTACTGTGTAGTTGGCGTCCAAAACTGAATAATCAGCTAACATCAATAAAACAGAGTAGTGTCCTCATCTATGCCAATGTGTTTAAAAACATAATATATAAAGATATGGCCAAAGCTGCTCTGACAAGCCGCTTTAGTGAAGATCTGCTTAATCCAAATCAAGCATACATGGGCAGGTGAGCTTGAGGAAGTCATTTGTAGGTGTGCTATTCTCCATACAGGTAGCAGAGGTTGCTAGAAGTAACTTTACTAATAAAACACAGTAAAACAAATGTCCCCCCCCCCCCCCACACACACACACACACACACACACACTTCTCAAAAATTCAGAATTACCTTAGCAAGGAAGTAATGCTAATAAAAGCTGATTTTCAATTCAGAATATTTGATTGCAACTCCTAGTTTCTTTGAACAGAACATCATTTGTAAAATAGATAACTGTCATAATGAAATGTTTTTTAAGACATTGTTTATTGATAAACATGTAAACCCTCTGGAGTCGGTGGCATAGCCATTTTGACAAGTGTTGGTGTTCACCTTTATATTGGACTCTGTATTTTATTGTTTGTCTTATTTGGTATCATTCTTTATAGCACAACCACACCTGTGTAAATTTAGAGTCATTTCTTCATTCTGTCATACTGTATTAGAACACTGAGCCTGAAAGCAAAGAAAAAATCTAAATCAGACTAGAAAATATTATCTTCTTGCAGTGAAAACCACAAACATTTGTAATGAACCATTTTCAGCAAGTTTTTTGCATAAAAATGCAAGGCATGTCTTAAGAGTTTTTCCATATAAAATTTCTGTTATGCTGAAAATGGAGTTCCACACTTTCTGTCTACCTCTGCTACTTACATAAATTTCCAGCAGAAGACAGGGTCAGGTTTAGCAAGCCAATAAATTATGTACATATACTTACATTATGTACATATATTTACATAATATACAAACATTTACAAATGTATTAGCAAAAAATATATATATTTACATTATATAGATATATTTACATTTACATTATATACATCCATTTACAATTGTATTAGCACAAAATATATATTTACATTATATAGGTATATTTACATTTACATTATATAAATCGATTTACAATTGTATTAGCATAAAATATATATATTTACATTATATACGTATATTTACATTTACATTATATACATACATTTACAATTGTTTTAGCATAAAATATATATATTTACATTATATACGTATATTTACATTTACATTATATACATACATTTACAATTGTTTTAGCATAAAATATATATATATTTACATTATATAAGTATATTTACATTTACATTATATACATACATTTGCAATTGTATTAGCATAAAATATATACATTTACATTATATTTGTATATTTACATTTACATTATATACATACATTTACAATTGTATTAGCATAAATTATATATATTTACATTACACACGTATATTTAAATTTACATTATATACATACATTTAAAATTAATTTAGCATAAAATATATATATTTACATTATATAAGTATATTTACATTTACATTATATACATACATTTACAATTGTTTTAGCATAAAATATATATTTACATTATATACTTTTATTTACATTTACATTATATACATACATTTACAATTGTATTAGCATAAAATATATAATTACATTATATACGTATATTTACTCCTCCTTGAACCGTCACCTTATCGTGGTGGAGGAGTTTGAGTGCCCTAATGATCCTAGGAGCTATGTTGTCTGGGGCACTTAGTGCCCCTGGTAGGGTCTCCCATG